GGGGAATCTAGCTGCATGTGGTGCTATTCCTCTTACAAATCAAAGCACATCTGATTCAATTTCAACTGCACAAACTGTTAGGCAATGGAGCATGAAGCAAGAGTGCTGTGCAAGATGATGCCACATGTATTTCAGGACGAGAGAGGTAATAGCCTCGTTCTGCGTGCCTGGCATATCGCTGCTCCTGGGCGCGGGGTCGAAAGCCAAGAGGACATGAGGACCAGCCCAGAGAACCCAATTTGTGAGCAGCAGCTTGCTAGCAGTCTTTTTTGGCATGGCTCAATTTCCACCATACTTTCTACTGAAGTCACTTACCTTAACACTGATGGAGCTTATGGCTTCGGCACTTAACACTGAAAACCTCCCCCTTCACCTTATCAGTTGATCTTTGAGCTGAAGTAAACTCCCCCCCATGTGCTGAAGATAATAAAGCAGTTGCATCAAGCTACGTGTTTAATTTTTTAAAGTTTTCTTCTGCTACTTGCATGTGAAACACAGCACTTGTCCGAGTTAAACATTACATGGCAGTTGTTCCCCCACTACTGAGATCTATTTAAAAGTGTATAACTAGCGATGTACGCAGGTGATAATATAGAAGATCAGCAGGGTCTCTCTCATGCAAATCAGAAAGAGAAGAATAATCTGGTTCTTCACAACTATCCCAACTGGGGAACTTGCATCTCCACTGGAGTCCATTTTCTATCAATTAACTGGTGTGTCTAATGTCTCTTCCAGTTGGTTCTACAGCCAAGTTCCTTTCAAAAGCTCATTTTAAAACAATAAGAGCCTATTTTAGGATTTTTATTTTGTCCTTATAAGGTCAAATGGGATTTGTACAGTAATTTCTAACACTGTACCAAATTTGTACTTTTTTTGTACTTCCAGAAAACTACTCATTCGGGTGCATTTCCAAAATGTTGTCATCTAAGCCGTAGCCATTCACAAGTATTGATCATAAACTGAGCATCTATTAAGAGCTGATTAGTCAGAAATGATGGCATGAAGTAGGCTATTTTTTTGCCACATTTACTGTTTTGTTTTTCCAATCTGTTAAATAAAGCAAATAAATAGTAACTGTGCCTTAAAATTTGCAGAAAGATTTCAAGTTCACGTTTGTTTGCTGAAGAGGTTGCGTTAACGTCTTTTCACTTAGAAAATCAACAAAACATGTAATTTGCCAGGGGTGCCTCCGAAATTTTTTTTGCATACAACTGTATATATCACTTCCTGAATGATGTCTCACCTGATTGCTCCACCCCAGCAACCCGACACAGGGACTGTCTGCTCCCAGAATCCACTCCTGCTCTCTCTTCTCAGAGATCCTTGACTTCTCTCGCTGCCTCTCTCCGCTACTTAAAGCAATCATTACAAAATCAAAAATATCTCGCCCCGTTCACAGACTTCAGGAACTTTACTAGTCCCAAGAAGTTCACTGAATAAGAAGCAATACGAATTGCAGTTCTATAACCACTTATGACCAAATGGTCTCTCTTTCCAGGGCTGCAGAGACTACAGCTGTATTTTCCAACCCTCTCAATCACACTAGAAATTGCATAATCCTCAGTTGTTGGTTGACTTTTCTTTAAATCAGTAAATCCCAACAGAGGTCCTGTGTCTGCTGGATTTCATACCAACTGGTAGCTGAGCTGGTCAGCACAGATGCAAAATGATGCCTTTAAGTGACAGATTTGCATGTTCAGACATTTGTTGACCTGTTCATCTTTCAAGCCTTGCTTTTAAAACCTCAACTTCAAGTATATTTTTCCAACCACCATTAGAAAACTTTATGCTATCTCTCCTCAATTCATGATGAGCTTGCTCCCTTATTTCTAAGCACACAGCCCATACTAGTTGATCAGTTCACAATGAAGAGACAGGTGGGAATGACACCTTGACTTAGACAAACTGAAATTAGCTTGTATTAAAGAACTCAGCTGGAACAACCAGAATATGGGTTGGAAAACTAATGGTATTTAGTAAGAAAGAAACTGTTTCTTACAAGAAACTATTTCAATTAAATACATTTTAATACTAGCCTGCAGAAAGGAATCAAATGAGAAAGCAGTAGAGGTTTACATGTAACCAGATATAATGGGAAGAGAAAGCCGATTGTCCAACCTATATAGGAAGACAGCTAACGAATGAAAGAGCATAAATAAGTGGTCCCTCAATTCCAAACTGAGGTGGCCTAATATTTTGTACCCTGATCATACAGCATATAAATGCCCTTTATAAAATATCAACAGAATTCACACTTTCTCTCTCAACTGGGTTCTTAACGTTGGCTCGTATTATTCAAGATGGAAACTCACTCTGCCTACTCTGTCTGGCCTTTGCAGTTCTGTCAGTGTACTGTTCTCGAATGGCTGCCAGTATCTTCTGCGCAGACACTGACAACGACCCCTCGGGCAGGGTTCTGAGCTCCATCTCGAAACAGCTCCTTCTCAAGGTCTGCACAAGTGGGATGAGATTCACTGGATTAGCACCAAGACTCAGGGAAGGGCTTCAAAACAGAGCATTGGCATCATATCCCTCTAGCTAAGTGTACAGAGCAGAAGTGCTTGAAATGCCATAAGCCCTCCAGAAAAGCTGCTGCACAATCTAAAGAAGAATGGGGTAGAAACATTGTGAGCTTATATTTTTCTTTAAGCAAACACAAAACATAGGAGAGCTCATCTTATAAAAGTCAACTATGGCTACATAAGCAGATAACTCAACAAAAACACCACACAACTCGGTTTCATTAAGCTATCATTTACCCAGTAATATAGAGAATTACTTTAAGGGGAAAACTGTTTAGAGCCATCACCTCCCCAGAACAACAACAGTGCACAAATGAGAGCACAAAAAGTGAACAGATATGACATCTGGGTGACCAAAAGGTAGAGGCAGCAGGTGGGAAAACTCAGATACTGACCTCTCATTTGAGAGGAACCAGTGAAACCACAGCACGACTTATAAGGCCTGTGACTCACAAGAACACAAACCAAGCCAATGCAGTATGCAGCTATGTCACCCTGCAACTCACAATTGGAAACCCACTAAAGATAAGCAGGTGTGAGCCTGGCCAGTACCTTGATGGGAGACCTCCTGGGAAAGCTAAAGTTGCTGCTGGGAGAGGCATGGGATCAGTAAGGAGAGCTCACTCTGAAGCCTGTGTGGGTCCTAATGGTCCAGTATAGTGACGGGGACACTATACCATTAAAAAAAAAAAAAGAAGTCGTCCTTTGGATGAGATGTAAAACCAAGGTCCTGAATCTACGTGGTCATTCAAAATCCCAGGGTGTTTCTCAAAAACAGTAGGGGTCTTTACCAATCATGGCCCCCTAATACTCCTTATCTATGAATTGGCTTCATCACTCGATTCTCCTCGCCACTTATAGCTGTACATTTTGGCTGCCATCACATCATCCAGGTGGGGGCTACAGATTCATGGTGGTGCAGGGGAGTCCCTTTAAAGCACTTTAAGTGGAATGCCCAGAAAAGTGCTATACAAGTGTAAGGATTATTTATTAAACAGAATTATTTTAAAATGTATGAATGGAGTGGAGTGTCCAGAAAAGTTCTACATAAGTAGAAGGAATCATTCCTCTGCATAACCTGCACAGGGAGGACATGGGTCCCTTTAAAGAGGTAATTTTCCTTTTATATTCCATTTTGCTCCAGGATGAGCCAAACCAAATTTATGTAATGGAGCTAGCAGCACATGGCCTGTCCTCGCTTCAGGTTTTTACCAGCCTGAATAACAGCTCCCTATTTAAATGAATTAACAACCATTAGTGTTTTGCTAAACCCCCGTTTTGACAATAACCATCTATTAACAGCTCACAGTTACAACACAATGACCATGCAGGCTTTCAGAGTGAAACATGCTGGGCAAAACCACCTTTCCACACTTTCAGTAACAGTACCTGGCACGTTTTTAGCGGAGGAGTGATGGGACTCTCTTCGCCAACACACGTTCGCGTCTGTGAGCAACAGTAGCAAAGCCTAAAGGTCACCGTGAGAGCATCTAGTGGACTAGAGCTCAACTTGCACACTGCATGACTGCCACTGGCAGCTGAGACACCGGGGAACCGAAACATGTTTTACCTTAGTACTCCTATTTCAGTATGCCAAGTATGGCTTCTTATCAGGTGGTGTTTCACCATCGTGCAGCAGCTGATATTTTGATACTTAGTTTAAATCATTCTTTGAATCAATCTTCAGATCCGTTTTATTCTCGATACCTCCGATCAAACACCAGGAATGTTTTTAAATTTGAATCCAATACACGAATTGTGTAGGACTATTTACTGATGGGGGGGAAAAAAATTCAAAATACATCGATACAGCTTCTTAACAACAAAGCATTTTGTCTCCTTGAACAAGAAACCAGACATTTAATGGAAAAAAACCCAAGTCTCTACAGAACCCTAAAAGTTAAATAGACAATCTTTATGAAATCCATCAGAGTATTTCATACAATTTTTGTCTGTGCGAACAAAGGTGAATGTCTTAAATCAAACTAAGTTTGAAAGAATGAAAAACTGCAATGGTTTAAACTGCAAGTATTCTTCATAAACCAGGATGCACCTAACAGAAGGTGGCTGCAGATGATCCTCATCTATTCTGAGCACTAATGCTGAGCAACCATAAGCACAGATGTCCATACTATATTACATAAAGGACAAAGTCATGGCCAATCCATTGCCGACTGTACTTTCATCTTGTTGGAGCACCTAAATCTTGAAGACAATTCCCCTGATGCCCTCAAAGTGCTCTGAAAGCATTTGTTAGATTTCCTCCCGATTCTCCCAGGCCTGGCTGACAGGACTGGGCAGCTCTCTCATCTCTGGATGCGCACCCAGACCTGGCCGGTATCATGTGCACTGGTACATATTCATATTCTTCACCCAGGCCCTGCAAAGGCTCATGGTGTCAACAGGAATAAAAGGCAGTGAGCCCATGTCCCTGATCTGGCGCATCCTTGGGCCGAGTTGTTCACAAACGGAACCGATCCAAGCAGCTGATCGAGTATGCCTCTGCCCGGAAACGTTACGAAGAGCACCACATGTGAGAACCATGACCAACTCAGGCTTAAAACCAGGCCCATGGACGGGGGAGGTCATGTCATCAGGTCTGCTGCACTGTCTCCTGTATAAAGACTTCCTTCTGGGCACAAACACACCCTCAGGAGGGTGGGTGCTGCCACACTGTTGTTTCAGTCTCCTTGGGCACCAGCCACGGCCTTGACCTTATTCTCCAGCTCTTTGACGATGCTCTTCAGCAGATCCTCGTCCTGAAAGAAGTAAACGTAGAGGTCCCTTTCCAAACGCTGCAGCTTCCTGCGCTCCAGGAGGGTCTTCTTGGCCTTCACATCGCTACTGATCTCCTGCATGAGCTGATTGAGCGTGTTCAGCTGCGACTCCAGCTGCAGAAGAGATTCGCCCAGCTCCTGCAGAGAAGAAGGGGCACACAGGAAACCATAAGCACTCTGAAGATGGATACAGCCAGACAAAAGGTTTGAAACCCCTTTGCTGTCAACGCAACGTTTATAACCTTTGTAACAAATGTTTTTCCATTCAGATAAAAACATCAATAATGGCACAGCATACTGAAAACCTGCAGATTTTAAAAACCATGTATAAATGGGACTTAGTGCATGTTAAATGGAGTCACAACATGAACCACAGAGAAGAAGAGCTCATCAGATTAACGTGATGAACAACAGTACAGTACTTGTAAAACTCCACTCCTAAAGCACTGGTAAGATGACCATAACTGGCAGGGTTTTTTCCCCCACATTCAAAATAAAGGAATTAGTCATTCTATAGAAAAAAATTAAAACCTCTTTTTAATAAGGATATCTTTATTAGGAACCTTATTAACATTTATTAATTGCGTATCTTTATTAAGATATTTCTCTTTATACAGGACTTGTTCAATTCCTGTAAACACAAATGTTAAGGTTATACTCTGGCAATCACTGAAATAAAAAAATGAAGGGCCAAGATAAGTAAGAAAATGTCTAAAACAAAGCATGCTGGACTTGTCATTAATGGTAAATTCTCTACCAATTCTCCTGAGCTGCACAGCACTAAAAAGCAGAGGTTAGATTCTCGCAAACCTTTTTCTGAATTCAAAACATTCAAAGCAACATATAGCAATGACAAAACTACAGAAAGCAAAAATCGCACCCTAAATGACAAGTCTAAAACTTCCTGCAGCAATGTGCAAGAGGAAAGGCAAACTCTAAAACTCCTTCTTCTGAGAAAACTACCTAGTGACTGGTTCTCTCCACGTGGATTAAAGAAAAATACAAACAGCCAATAAAACCAGATCAGATTGAAGAATTTATATTTTAGGCACATCTTTGAAAACGTACTTTCTTCAACAGCTTAGTAAACAAATTCAGATCAAAAAAAATTTTCACAATTGTACGGAGGTTACATTCTAAGCACATGTATACAAGTGCAGTAGGTTCAGCAAGCAGTGTAACATTAAGAAAGTGGCACTTTTTCTAAGCAAAGGCGTGAAAAAGAAAAATCCAACATTTATAGCAGATTTTTCACAGGATAGAATTTTTAATTACAGTAAATGTACTGAATTGTTTAACTTTCAGATGTAATAACTTCAGAACTTCAAAGATTGCTCACACAAAGGTTTTAAACTAGAAACAATACCACCAATATACTAAAGGCAAAAACAACACTAAAAACCATTATAATTGCATGTCAGGGGAAAAAATAGATAGAACAAGCAAAAAGATATCCATTTCTTAAACTAGTCCACAGCTCAGAAATCCAGACCAAAATAAACTACGAACAATCTACCCACCCAATCACACAATTACACCTAATAGCACTGCTGGAATTTGTAATTAGCAAACAGGATTAAGTTTTCATTTAATTCAGGTCCTATAATCTAAAACCTAAATGCTGACAGTGGAACATGTCCTCTCACAAATCAATGTTAAACAGCTCAGTACACTCATTCATCCTCAAAGATCCCATTTCGGGGTACATAATGAACACTGTTTCAAACTTGAGTTAAAAATGAGATGTCAATGACCTTGCAAAAGAATTTACCCTGACTTCAAAGTCTGTATTTTGTCTCATGAGCAAGCAGTCATGATACCAAAAAAAGTATACTTCATATTTAGAACCTACACATTCTCCTCCAAAATACTGATGGTTTGCAAATAAGCTTGATCTGCAGAGAAACATTTTCAAATATTCAATGAAGATCCTTAATTGTGTTAGTGTTCAAACCTTTTGCTACACAAACTATAAACCAGGTCAAGTTCAGAAGAAAAGTTTGAAAGATCACAAAAATAGAGAAATGATCTCATCTCTGTGAAATCAAAAGGACTTAACCTTATATAAGTGAATGTATTTCTCTGCAGACATTGAGGAACACTTATAAGGAACTAACAGTTCTTCAATTAGACCCTGAACCTCAAGCTACAGCTTAGAGTGAAAGCACATAAGCACATTCAACAAATAAAGGGGTAAAACATTACAGATCAGAAAAAGGCTACTTATACCTGTGGGTAGAGTGAGGTCTATAATTAAAAAGTAGAATAGGTTTCATACTTCTTAGATCAAGCCAACCTTTCAGACTGAGCAGTCAGTTAAACAGGAGACTGGTCAGGAAAGCCACTGTGAAGCCAACAGTGTTTGAAAGATCTGCAAAGTTCTGAAATATTTTGTGAACAAACCAGACATTTGTTTGACATTTCAGGTATACATCACTAAGGAGCTATATTGTGCCTGCATCAGACACAACACTTTACAGTCAGCTCAATCGGAGCTTTCAAGCATGATTACAGTAGCATCAAATTACAGGGATCCCACTCATGAAAATGAATGGTCCAATGCACAGGCAAATCCTAGAGAGAAAACTGCATTGAGAGGATCAATAATCTCAAACTGGACAGAACACTCACATTGCAGTAGGACAATGACCTGATTAACAAGGCCAAAGCCACACTGAAGCGGTCTAACATGACTCTCTAATGTTTTCCCTTGAGTGACGCAAGTCCTGACTTCAATCCAACAGAAAGGCATGACAACTGCAGCACATGCACTGCCCCAAGAAGCTGCTAGGAACCGTCGCCAAGGGAGAAAGGACAAAAACAGTCCCGTCACTCCGCTCAAAGCTGGCTAAACATCCAACAGATAGAGTTCAGTTTGACCATTAGAGTTCGGAATCGAGTTCAGTTGGGATACAACCAGCAATTTTATTATCTTGCAACTCAAAACCGGCAACCAACTGAAGCTCAGCAGGTGTGAGCCTGGCCAGCACCTGGATGGGAGACTTCCTGGGAAAGATAAGGTTGCTGCTGGGACCTGCTGGAGGTGCTAGTGATGGGGACACTATACCGTACAAAAGACGCCGTTCTTTGGACAAGATGTAAAACTGGGCTCCTGACTCCCCATGGTCATTAAAGATCCCGAGGCAGGGATGTTACCCTAGCGTCCTGTCTAAATATCCCCCTGGCCATTACCAATCGCGGACTCCTAATAATCTCTGGTCTCCTCCCCCCCCCCGATAGCTGACGTGTGGCGAGTGCACTGGTGCACAATGGCTACCGTGGCATCATCCAGGTGGAGCTGCACACGGGTGGTGGTGGAGGGGAGTCCCCATGACCTGTAAAGCTCTTTGAGTGGAGTGTCCAGAAAAGTGGTAAATAACTGTAAGGAATTAATTGAAAATTACGGTATACATTACTTTTAATCCATCTAAATATGATATGATTGATAAGAAAACTTTTGCAAGTGTAAACAAGGCAAAATAATTATGAGGTTTACTCTTGAACTCATGCCTTTCTAATTCATATACAATTATTTTATCTGTAGGCATCTTTACAGTAAGTAAATGTAATTTTAGGATAAAAAAGTGCAAAAATCAACAGAGGAGCTAACTTTAGGATACATAATCTCAGCTATCGGCAATCATTTAAGCAAGGAAAAACCTATAGGAAAGACAGGAAAGTGCTCTGTAATTAAGACCCAGGTCCTTTGAAGCAGCCAACACTCAAGCTGGTTATATAACTCAAGCTTCAGTGATACCAAGGATATTGTGACAAAAAGAAAACTTCTGGGAGTAAATTGAATAAATTCCTGGAATACATCTAGGCCATTTTAATCTTATTTAGCCTTCACACAGCAACTGCGTAAAAGATTCCTCTTCTGCTGTTTAGATTGCTACCTCATGTTAAACATCTCATCAAAACAGGAAACATGAAATGAAGAATCTGATGAGTTGCACAATGCTAATTGTAAAGAGTTCTGCACGTTGGTGCAGGAAGGACATATATACTCTCACTGACACAATGGAAAATGTTTTCAGAAGGTGTCAAAACTGTTAGTCAAATTGGTACACACAAGCTTACAAACATTTCCCAAGAAAGCAATGAAGTAATGAGACTTCTTATAAACATTACTGTTTGCAGAAAACAGAATGTTCAATGATTCAATGCTGCTCATACAGAACAAGATGAATGCAATGGCTGAAAAGACAGTATACCAAAATGAAGTCTTAAGCTTGGCTAAAGAAAAACCTAAAAAAATAATTCAACTTTCAGAATCGCCAGAATTCTATGTAATGAGTGTTTTCCAATTCACTATCACAGCCCGATCCCTCCCCCAAAATGATTCAAAGTTATTGTAGCAAAGGGATTTGCAACCAAATACAGTACTTGTACATTCTGAAATCTACTAAGGAGATGTGTCCAAATACTCATGGTCACTTGAAATCCAACAGGGTCCAAAACAAAGTATTTACAATTAAACTTTCTGCATGGAATTACACAAAATAAAACGGGTTATATTGTACATACATGCATTAATCTCACGAGCATGAAAACACTGTTCATCTGCAAAGCAATAATAAGCAGCAAGATATTATTTTTAATCATTTTGGAGGGCACAGTATATTGCAGCTCCTACCATAAAGCTAGAAGAGGTGCGTGTTGATAGGTGCCGACAGCTCTCATCAGATTCATTTGATTCAGGTAACCTGCTCAGAGCCGTTATCACTACAGACCTCAGGTTTTCACGGCTCTGACAGGTTACCTGAATGCAAGCACATGCAAGTGAAAAAACATGCAGGCTAAACGTGTGGCGCAATACATGTGGCACTGAAATGTGTCCCCGCATCCCCAGACCGTGGTTAATAAACAATGCCTGACAATACCTCAGCCTTGTTATTTGAGAAGCGTCAGAAGCCCACGTACCTGTGAACGGGTGAAGTGATCCTGTGGTGCAGCACGTACCTGTGGAGTAAGCACCAGCTGCTTTAGCCCACAGTAGTTTGTGCTGCGGAGCAGCTCGCAGTCGGCCTCCGCGCCGGCCAGGCAGCGCCGCTGCTCCTCCGCGGCTCCCTCGACGGCCTCCCTGGCGGCGCGCAGCTCCTGCCGCAGGGCCTGGGCCGCCTGCTCCAGGCCCCCGTACGTCCTGATCGGCTGCTCCTGCCCCGCCGCCCCCTCCAGGACCTGGTACAACCTGCCGGCACGCAACACGGTCACTCGGCGCGGGAGCACCTGTACTTGTTCCGTTGCTGGCTACACACGCTGACGCAGCCGACGAGAACAGTGAGGTGTTCAATAAGGTGGATTACTGATCCTGCCTTTTAGGGTCGGAATCCAAACCCCCCGGAGGCAGCTGAAACGCAGCGCAGCAGAGGGGAGACGAAGGAGTGAGCCTCACCTGGAGCACGCCGTGTCCCTGGAGTCGATGACGTTGCGGGGCCTGGCGCCGGCGGACAGGGCGGGCTGGGAGAAGACCTCCAGGCGCCGCCCCAGCTCCTGCCCGCTGCCCTGCAGCCGCTGGGTCAGGTCGCCCAGCTGCCGGTCGAGCTGCCTGCCCCTCCGCAGCTCCAGCTCGCAGGCCAGCTGCAGCAGCTCGAAGGAGGCCTTCTGGCGCAGCAGGTGGCGGCACACCTCGTCCTGCCTGGAGGTGTAGTAGTCCTGCCGGGCGATCTGCAGGTCCAAGTCCCCCCTGACCACCGGCATGTAGAGGAGCTGGGCGCTGGCGCGCAGGGCCGCGGGAATCCGCTCGCGCAGCAGGGCCCTCGCCTGGGCCCGCACGCCCTCCAGCTCCTGCCAGAGCCCGGCCGCACGCACCTGCAGAACCGAGGCCGAGCCGCTCGGCTGGGCAGAGACGGAGAGAGGGCGCGTCACCGAGGCGTAGGAAAACTCACCTGCCCTCTGCAACCCATACTCCTTCTCGTTCTGCTATTTTAGTGGCGTGTTTTATACTGTAACACTTGTCTATCTTTGGTACTTTTGGTACATCACATGAGAACAAAGTGTTGAAAACTACAAGTTTCCTAACAACTGCTATCTAATACAGACTAATAAAATAGTGCTCTGCACAGTTTATACAATGATATTCATGCAGCAATGAGCAGTCAACATGCTGAAGAAGGCCACTAACCTTTGCCTTGGAGGTAGAGTGCAGGTTGTCTCTGATCCACTGCAGTCCAGCCCTGGTGCTCTCCTCTTTGGCCCTCGCTTGGATCAGCCGATGTTGGGCCATGATATGAGTGCACTGCAACTTGGCCATCTCCTTCCTGCGCCCCTGCTGGACCTGGTTATCCTCCCCTCTCTCCGAGCTCCCGCTCAGGTCCAGCAGCTGGAAGTTCTCCTCGTTGGAGCTCTCCACCAGGTCCGAGATGCCCCGGAAGAACTGCTTCTGCGTGTACAGGGCCAGAGCCTTGGTGTTGAGCTCCTCCTGGTGCAGGTAAGGCCCGAGGGCCAGCTGGGAGAGGAAGACGGGCGGCCCGCTCGGAGGCGCGCCCGCCTCCCGTTCGGGCCCGGCGGAGAAGAAGGCCGTCAGCTGCCTCGCCTCTTCCACGAGCAGCTGCAGCTCGCGGTTCATCTTGGCGTTCTCCGCCCCCAGGGACTCGAGGGTCTCCTTCAGCGCCGCGGACGCCTCCTCCCGCTGGGCGCCGAGCCGGTAAGCGGCCCCCGCCGCGCCGGCCGCCATGACTTGCAGCTGGCCGCGCCGCTGCAGCTTCAGCCTCTTCTCCCGGCGCAGCGCCTGCAGCTCGTCCTCCAGCTGGGCCGGGTCCAGGTCCCGCAGCGAGGCCGGGCCCCCCTCGGGCTCGGCGCCCCGGCACGTCTTCAGCACCTTCGCCAGCGCCGCCTCGTCCAGGATGGCCTGGCCCGACGCCTCGAAGGCCGCGAAGGCCCCCACCTCCTCCGCGCTCAGGACGTTGCGTTTGCGCGCGTGAGCACAGAACCAGCGCAGGAACTGCTTGTGCTCGGGGGTCTCAAAGAGCCAGTCAAAATCCTCCCCCTTCAGCCTGGACACCTTGGGGTAATTTAGTTTCTTCAGGTTCTCCACAAACTGGCTCCCACCGTTCATCCCGCCGCTGTCCTGCGCTGGCGAGCGCCCGGCGAGTTCAGGTTTCACAGTGGGATTCCCAAGAGCACGCTGAGGGCTAGCACTTTCTCCCCCCGCCCAGTAACAGCCCCACAAGCGTATCAACTCTAAGACCGGAGAACATAAACACGTCACAAGTGAACCTGTGTAACGAAATAATTAAAAAGGTTATGCCTAGAAATCCTCTTCTGCAAACTTTTGAATAAGATGAGGGGGGTGTAAAGGCGGAAGAGCAAAAACATCGTGGGGAAAGGGCAGCAGCAGGCGCGACACTAAACTGGCGAGATGAAAGAGCACTGGGACGGTCTAACACACTGGACACATCCAGCCGACTGGACCTGTTCGAGTGGGGAGCCCTGTCGGCACGCGGGCTGCAAAGGAACACGGGTCGATTCCATGCCGAGCAGGAACAAAAGTACAATGTTTTGGTTGTAGAGCTCTCCTCTCAGAAGGAGGGAGAGAAAGGGGGCAGGTGTATGAAGCGTCTTCCTATTTTTCCTCAATATTTTCCTTATTTTTGGAATGAATTTCTACTGGGTACTCACAATCACACATCACAGCTTCGAGAACTCTGTAGCAAGGAATGCACCACATAAGCTACCTACTTCTGTGTCCTTCCATGAATCTCATCTCGGACAATGACATTATTGTTCTTCATACTGCGGCGAATTCCAGTGATTTCATTGTTCACAAGCAGCTATAGCCTAAGATGTCACCCACCCACTGAGCAATCACAGCCAACATAGAGGAAAATGACATATAAGATAACCCGAAACCCACATTAAAGGGTAGAAAAAGACATTTTAAGGTCGTTACAAAAACTCCCTTTAAATCCCTTTAAAAACGTACGATTAAAGCAAACGTTGTTCCCGCGAAAAAGAAGGTTACAAATTAGGAGGGGCAAAAAATCAACTCTGATCCATTTCGGCGGTTAATATCAGAGCTAGCTACACTGCTGAGGGAGAGCTCAGGAAAAGCGATTTCGGCGCTGCCCTGGCAGAAGGCTTTTCCCAGCTCATCCCTCTGGCTCGGATTCCCGCCTGCATTGGCGGCGCGGAAAAACAAACTTCCCGGCTCAGAGCCAAGAGACCAGCCCGGTGCCTCAGTACTCCTAACCCGCACCCACCGCTAGCATTTCCTGTGCTCATTTACGACACGAAAATAACTTTATGCTGCCGATAAGAACTGAGTCTCCCTGAAAAATAAGTAACATATTAGTGACAACACAAGACAGACAGATAACCTAGGCCAGCGGATTAAACCTACATACCCGTTACTGGAAACAGTTTGTCAGTCAGCAAAATGAATTTGCCCTACTCGGTCTCAGACAGACAGAGATGTTATATCGAGCTTCTCACCTTTAAAAAAAAAAAAAACGTTGGTAAACTGCTGTCTTCTTGAGTCGAGAACTATAACTGCCTAGCCGGTTTCAAACTGACCGCGAAATCTTGCGTGTCCAAGGTTTCAAACCTCGGAGATCACCATCGACATCTCGGAAGACTAAATCCAGGTCCTCTGGTTCTTACACAGCGCCACCAGCCGGGGCGGAGGCTACATGCGCCGCTTCGTGGATCTGTTTCTTACCTGTTCTTCCGACTGCGCCTCATGTTCACATATCCACAACGTAGCCCGGAAAACAACGCTTTACTAACTACAAATCCATGAAAAGCTGCCACCAGCGCTATCTTCAATTACTGTGATATTTTGCAGTAGCAGGCGGTGGTGGCGACCAGGGTAACCGGGTCTGAAAACATGTTGGATGGGCTAATGTATACAATGTGGAATATTGCTCACCCGAACCCAACCAGCGCTCATAATGGGAAAAAAAACACACCCACCCAACTAAAAATAAGGCGTATCACAATAAACATGAGCCCATCTCTTATGCCAGCACGGGTTGCAGGTCCAAAAGCCGGGAGCACAGCGAATATATTTGCTCAATCTGCCGGAGCAATGTATGTGAAGGCCCGCCTGTCACCATTGTCTCCCCCAGTTTTTCTGCCTCTCTTCGCCGTTCATTGTGACAGTTAAATCTCCTTTAAATCCCTCCGTCTGGTAAGGAGTCATTTCTCTGAGAAAAAAAAATAACTATCGAGCCTTCTCGTACTGCAGCTTCTCGTCAATGGGTCTGTCCATCCCTGTAATGTCATTTTGTAGCCTCCGACTCATTTTTCACGACTCAGTAATGTGAGGTGAGTGTACTGTGAGCGCAGTATGGGCTGCCGTCGCATCATCCAGCTGGGACTATACCTGTGAAGTACTTGGAGTGGATTTCCAGAAAAGCGCTATATAAGCTATATAAGTGTAAGGCATTATTATTATTAATAATAATAATAATAATAATAATTATTATTATTATTAATAATAATAATAATGAAGAATTTGCTATGTACTGTCGCTGAAAATCAATAACATTAAGTTTCTACCCTAGTAACAGTATGGGTGAAGTTATCGTGCCATATCAGCGTTTGATTGTGTGCCTTCTGTGTGGAGTTTGTGTGTTCTCCGCAGGTTCGTGTGTTGTTTTTCTCCAGCCAGGTGTTCGCACAGTTCAAAGACAGGTTGTTTAGGAGCACCGGAGTCTCTCCCCTCCCGTGTAAGCGTGCGTGAATGTGGACGCGCCCTGAAGCTGTTTTGCCCGGCAGCCGGAGCGCTCCGCTCAGCATGTAGTCTCTCCTGGTTGTACCTGCTCTGTCCCTGCCTGGTTAGGCTCAGGCTAAACCACGAAGGATGGGAGGGAGGATAGGAGCTGCAGTACCTACAGAAGAAGAACGTAAATTAGGATATTTCCATGATTTAAACGTCACCAGTATACTGTTGTTGTTGTTGTTGTTGTTTTTTTTTTTTGGGAGGGGGGAGACAAACGATCAAGATCAAGTTATTGCAGTGGTTGTACTGTGTAGTCCAGGGGTTACAGAGAGCACAACCGGAAATGTTTTTTTTTTATTCTTATTATTATTATGTGAATAATCCAGACGTTATCTGACCCCCGTCTAACTGCTTCCGACGTTTGGTCTACGCGCAGAGCCGCCCACGCCAGCAGGGACACGAAGTGCGCTCCAGGCCATGCCGGCGCTCGCAGCTCGGCCTCACCAGCGCCCCGCTGTCACATGGCCCTTCCTCGTCACGTGGGCGGGAGTTCCGCGTCGCTTTGCGGTGCGTCGGGAAACACCAGCCTGAAAGAAGATGGGGCTCGGAAGCAGAGTTAGTCGGCTAAATCTGGATTAAGCTCCAGCCAACGCTTGTAGCTGAAGGAGAAATCGGACACGACCCGTTGGCATGATACGTTAGGTGAGTTACAGCCTTGTTGACCGTCTTTTTTTTTGTGTGTGCGTTATTAGCTGTGCCCGGGCGCAGGGGGACCCGAGCCGTGAGCGAGCGTGCCCCCCACATGTTATGTCAAGACCTCTCCACCTGCCTGAGCCCTCACCTGCTCGGTTTTCGAAGCCCGTGTACCCCGAAACGCGCGGAAGGTCTGTTTTGTCACTGGCCGGCTGCTCTTGCCCTGTGCCCGATCTGGTCACGCGTGGAGCAGGACAGCGATCCCAGGATGCTGCGACGCCACCCCCCCCAAAGTAACAGTTTTCTGCTCACATGCTGAACCCGTGTCAGCTTATCGATCGTCGTTCCTGTCATCCGATACGATCCGACTAATCTCATGTGTCTTCCAAAAGGCACAATGCCAACAGTGGTTGGGTCAAAGGGTCAGATCACAAATGAAAGACATAATTCTGGTAAACACGTAAGCTAGCAAAGAAAGTCACGCATTTTCGACGGTAGACCATTGTGAATGGAATGGCTTGTGAAGCTCACCGTTCTTCTGAGTGTCTTGTCATTGTGATCGGCTTTCTTCTTCGATGTCCCCGTTAATGAGAAAACGAAGTTATCTTTAAACTGTTTTAAACGTCATCTCTTCATCCGATCTATGCACTAACGCTCTGACGTTATTGTTATTCATTTAGCAGAATAAGTAAATAGTAGTTTAATAGTGACATAACAAATCTACCATACTCGTTCTGTAAAATTGCTTTAGGTCCACAGTGGTTTTAGTATACCCTGCTTTGCAGTATTGGTTGTTTTTTTTTGCTTTTAAAAGTCAGTTTTAAGTACTGAACAGAGAAGGTTAGAAATCCCCATTACACCTGTACCAGAAGATGGTTTTCATGATTTCTGTCATTTAATTTGTTTCAAGGTGGCACCTAAAACAGTGGGTCTGTCCATCCCTGTAATGTCATTTTGTAGCATCCGCACCCGTGTCACTGTGTCACAAACAATTAGTTGTTTACAAGGGTACGAGAAAGCAACAGTCGTCAGCCCAAATTGAAATGCAGATTTTTTGCCAATCTGTGAGAAGATAATGGTCACAAAAGAAATTCATTTTGGAAGCTGAACTTTGTGATAAGTACTGTATGGTCGCCATGTTGTCGCAAACCCCTGGCCTCTTGGGAAGCATGAATTGGGACTTAAACTGGCCCTTCCTGATCACTAGTCACTGTACTGACTAATATAATGTGATGTACCAGTGAACAAGTATAGGTTGTGCAGCAGACAATTCACTGCAACATGACATCACGGCGGCCGTACAGTACTTTCACAAAGTTCACGATTTTGTGCTGAATTGGAAATTTGTAAAATCTTGTGTTGTAAAAGTTCCCTTTTAAAAGCAGAGTGTTTCTCTCTCGCGGAGTATGGGAGAGCAGCCTCATGGCACAGTGAAGATGTGGGGGCAGGGGCAGGGGGGGCGCCAACCAGCTGGTCTTGTTCAGATGTTTTACAGGGCTACGGGCTGGAACTTTCCGGCGGCTCTCGAAGCGTCCTTCAGGCATGGACCGAGTCTAGAGCCTCGAACCTTTTTTTTCCCCCGTCTGCTTTAACCTTTATTCTGAGGCGTCAGAGCTGGGGCTGCGCTCATCACCAGAAAAGATGCAGACTTTCGTCACTTTCACGCAGCAGAGAGAGACAGGAGCGAGGAACCGTGAAAAATAATGCGCTGCTGTAGAACGTGGGCAAGTTCACGGCTGACAGGAGTCCATTCGTCTCGTGTAGCTCGTTTGGTTTTTAGTAGTTAATTGAACTGAGAATCCCGCCCAGCTGTTCCTTGAAAGGAGCAACTGTATCAGCCAGAACTGCACTGTCCGGATACTTCCGGTCTCTCACAGCTCTCTTATTTTAGAAGCTTCTCTTTACCTGCCAGTAGAAATTTAAAGTTGCAGGCAATTTGCAAAGGAATCGAATCTTTACTGAGCTGCTGTGTTTATTTCTTATTCATTATGGCAGCACCAGACAAAGCCGTCGAACAGCTGTTGAAATCGATAAGGCCTGTGAATTAGAGTTGAAGTTTGGTGTAGGACTTGAACCGATTCAGGGTCGCGGGGGAGCCAGAGCAAGGGCAGTATTTGCAGTATTGGTGCAACAGGTGCAAGGCAGGGATGTTGGTTTGTTAATTTTATCATCCTGAAAGAAAGACGTACTCTTACACTGATCAGATGCAGGGCGCATTTAGCAGTGTGACCTTAAATGTCTGTTCTTTTGTGCTTTGTCTCTGGGTCTCAGTCTCAGTGATGAAATATTAAAGAGCATAAATTATGTATTTCTTTATTAGAGGATGTTTATTTTACAGAGAGGCTGGATTCAAGTCACGTGAGAAAGCCCACAGTTAAAACAACTACATGAAGTGTTCCTCTTTGCTGGCAAAGTGAACTTATCAGTACTCGTTGTTGAAGCATGAGCAACAGTTACATTAAGCAACATTTACTTAAATGGTTTTAAGTTTCATTCCGAAACATGTAGAAACAAAAGCTTTTTTGAAACCCTTCCTCAGACCCGGTTGTCATAAGTTTGACAAATGTGCAGCTCTGTAGGCTTCCTTTGGGGAGAAGGAGAGTGCTCTCTCAGGCTCATCACTCAGTGTGGCTGTGCAGTTAGGAAGAGCTTTGCCTCTTGGCTATGGGTTTCCTCTTAATAGGTAACGAAGCAAGCCTGAGCTTCTCCCTTCTCTCATTTGTCTTGCTGTCACAGTACCAGAGCAGGACTCTGCTACCTCATGCATTCCTGTCGAAGGCTAATCGTTCCCTCTTGCCCCCTTGTGCAGCGGTGACAGTAAAGAATGCCTGTTTTCTCCTGCTGGCAGCGACACCGAGATGGATATTCATCTTCCAGAAGGGGTTGTAGCCTTCCTGCCTCCAGTGGGGAGATAGGAATTCTGTAACCACGTGGTTGGAACTCTGACATAAGAGAACTCGGGATCATGTCAGAGACTCATTCCAGCTGTGGTATCCAGACACGCAATTCCTTGTACCAGGAAGGGTTCTGATAAAGAGTGCTTTCATATTTATGTATGTGTATCAGGCTGTGACATTCCAGTGAGAATTAAGAAGAGCTTGAGAACATTACAAACAAGAAGAGCCCATCTTGCCCGTTTGTTAGTTAGCGAATAATAATTGATGCGAGGATTTCACCCAGACAGGTCTCTTCCTTGAGAGAAGGAGTGGCTAAATGAGATCCTTAGTTTAAAGCACCCCCCTCCCGTCCTCAAATGTAAATGCACTTCCATGAAGTTCACACTGCTGACTTCTTCTCCTTTGTGTTTCTGAGCAGTCTCTGCAAGCTGTAAGCTGATCTTGTAAGCTTTACGTTAACATATGTTAATGGTACGCTTCTGTAGTGTTTAGGTGCTTAGATTTTCACGTTTTGTAATTGCTAGTGTTACGGTTCTTGGGGTCTCCACCCTTACCGCTCCTGCCCTGCCAGTTCGTCCCTCAGTGCCTGGGGATGAACCCGGGTCTCCGGCGTCATGCAGCAGGGAACTTGCCAGCTGAGCTAAAGGAGACCTCCTCCAGCCCGGCCGGCTGAGATCCCTGCTATACGCAGGGGTGTATTCGTTACACTAGCTATACATGCACTTAGATGTACAAGTAAAGCAGAAAAGCACATAACCATAACAAGCATTAAAAGAAACTTAACACTCAGTTTATTACAGAGTGATACGTTTCTAAATATTAATTTCGAATGTTTTTGGGCATCAGTTTGATCATGACTGACCTTGATGCACCCGGGCGACTTTGTTGCATAAGCCCCAGATCGTCTCTCGTTGGCGAGAGAATTGATTGGGATCAAGTGATGAAGTGACTGTCGGCTCTAGTGGATTCTCCACTCTCCAAGAGCTCTTTGGAGATCAATCAAGGCTTTGTTCAGGGCAGCCTGATTGTGACTGATTGTCGCACACAGCAGGTAATTGGGGACATCCAGGGGTGATGGTCTGTGCAGGAGTGTCTGATTGCTACACAGTTTGACTTGTGGGGATTGATGGCAGCCCGACTTCCCTGACGCTACATGGATCAGGACAATCCTGACATGACAGATTTGCAGCAGGATAGCAGGCATCCTCATGTCACTCGTGTAACAACTGCTGTCTACCAGGATTAGAATGTGACAGTGATGCTGTGAATGTGTTGCTCGGTGAACCCGGGCACCATTCAATATTTTATGTATTGAGTTGTGTTGACATGTGGCATCTGGAGCTCAGAAACCAATGAAGGGGCACATACTTGACCAGGCTGCACAAGAGGAATGGGACAGAATCCCAGAAGATGGCATCTGCAAGCCGGTGCAGTGCGGGAGTCACAGATGTCCGGCTTGTACAACGTCCCACAGTGGAAACACGTGCTGCCAGCCCGTGACTTTCACAGCCACCCGCCTGTTTGACAAATGTGAATCAGCATAATTAATTTATCAGTCTGTTGAATAAAATGTCAGTGCTCCTGCTACAAAAATCCTAACTGGGGTATTTGATGAAGTTGCAGGTCAACCTGAAACTTAGAAAATGTTAATTGCCTAATTGAAGTAATTCAGGTGGGTAGCTGCGTCAGCATGCGTAGGCTGCAAAGGAATAAGTAAGAGGTTTATTCCATGCTGAAAAAAAGAAGAAAGAGAAAACACGTTTCGGCCGTGGAGCCTTCTTCAGGTGTGGCACCTTCTTGACACCCGAAGAAGGCTCCACGGCCGAAATATTGTGTTTTCTTTCTTCTTTTTTTCAGCATGGAATAAACCTATTACTTGTTTAATTGAAGTAATTATTTGCTTTGTTAGACTACCCAGTTCTTTGTTCGAACCCAGCTAGACTGTGGCCAGAGACTGCTTGCACCATAAGCACAGAGATGAAATTGTTCCCCAGGTGTTGGCTTGCCAGTTCTCCGCTGGCTACAGAGGAGTATAAATGGCAGGTGGACTCTGTACACCATTTCTGCCAAAACCAACCTGACATCCTGGCACAATACCAGAAATTACTTCCGTCTCCCTCTGCCATCCTGGTTCCCCAACAGACTTGCCAGGGGAGAGGGAATTTTAGTCAGAAAATGGCATAGCTTGGGTTTGGCCCTGAATTCTGCACAATGTAGGGTTGACCTCGCTCTGCAGATGGAGATGGTTACTGGAGCTCTTGCACGACTGATTCTGCACAACACAAGCAGACGAACTCTTGGCTGTTTTCTCTCCGCAGGCTGCCGGGCACAGAAGGGAACAATGGTGAAGTACTTCTTCAGCGAGCTGGACATCAAAAGCACGTGGGACCAAGTCTTCTCTGCTTTCTGGCAGAGATATCCCAACCCTTTTAGGTAAAAGCGTCTGTGTGTCCTTTTTTGACATGCTTTGGTGTTTTCATCGGCTGGTCTCATAAAAACATTAGAAGGGTTACAAATGAGAGGAAGCCATTCAGCCCATCTAGCCCATGTTGTAGCTAGTAGTGAATTGATCCCAGGATCTTATCCAGCCTTTTCTTGAAAGCAGATCAGGGTTTTGGCTTCAACAACATGACTGGAAAGTTCAGGTAAAGAAGTGCCTCCTGGTCCCATTCGTGAATGCAGCTCCAGTTTTGACAGCATGGGTCTTTTTTTTAGTTTCTGCATCTCCTTCTTCAGTCAATGTACTTTTTTCCAGAATAAACTAGATTTTGTAGCAATTTCCACAATGTAGTCTGGCTGTTGGGAGTGTTCCAAGATGTGAGCGTGTGGCAGTTTGGAGACATGAGGAAGTTGTTTGGTTGTGTCTGCTGATTGAAGCTGGGATATCGGTAGACACCATGGCTGGGTGGCCTGATCTGGACTCCCACACCTCTTTGTGTAATAGAGGTCCTCATGTTGTCCTAAAACCACTTGCCCTTTGTCTCCATTTGTCTTGCCTGGTTTGTATTTCACTGATTTTGAAGAAATCCATAGTGTTTTATGATTGTCGGTCATTTTTTGAATACTGGAATCGGGTCCCCTCATAGTCTTCTCAGCTCCGAACCCATTTTGTAGGATCGTATCCTGAAGGTCTCTCTCTTATGTGAAGACATTTTTGGGGGAGAATGTCCAGCTCATCTAGAGATGCTGCTTCTTTACTTTTGACTGTTAAATTATCAAGCAAATGTGCATGTGGAGTGGAAATACTGGTTCCATGGAACTCTTTCCCTGTGTATAAAGCTACGTGTTTACCTCACTTGGTAAGCTTTTTTATTGCATCTATACATCTGGAGCTCTACTGCTGTCCTATTAGCTGTGTGGTAGCGTTGAGAATTTGTTTGGGTGCATATTTTCTCTGAAGCTGCCGTATATTAATTCAGAACCAACGGTCTTCTCAAAACCTTTTCTGGAGCTCTTCAAGGTCATAATACATTCAGACACAATATGGGGAAGCTATCGCTTAAGGGTGACATGCGTGTCACAGCCTGATGGGGAACTTTTTTTGCAATCGTTTTTCCAGAGTTTTCACAGTTACATAATCACCTCCCAGGGTAGAATTCGATGGCGGCCCCCTCATCAGGGTGACCAGGACACGAGCTGTGCTTTAATGCCTTCTCACGTTCACGGTGTCCAAGCTTGTTCACACACACTCCCTGAGAGTCCCGTACTCCGGACCCACCGCCCCCAGCGTCATCATCACCTTGCGCTTATTTCCTCGCGCAGCCCTCGGCCCTTCCGTGACCCGTTCTGAGGTCGTGGTGAGCGTTCGCTCGCGTTGCCGAGCTGAGCCCCGAGCTCGCGGACCCCCGGGCTCGGTGAACCCCACACCTCTGGTTCTTCTCTACGCGTCAGTCGCTCTCGGACAGCAGCGGCGGAAGACCCTCGATTTGGTCGTCCCCATTCAGCCTGAGCCGCTCTCCCTCCTCCTTCACCTTGCTGGCTGCCCGGCGTGGCTGCAGTCGAGGCAGCTGCTGTGCAGGATCCTCCCTCTGCACCTGAGTCGTTCCCCGTCTCTTCAGGAGCCTCCCTTTCTTCTAGACACCACACATGGGGTCCGGTCCCGATCGTCTGAGACTCCTCTCCTGAAGCCTCCCGCACCTTGATGTAACACTCATGCAGAGCCTGCTCCCGCTCCTCGGTGGCTCACTCATATCGGGTTTCTTTCACTCAGTACATCACATGATCTTTAGCTCCTCAGCCTCGTGCCTCAGACTTCTCGGTCTCTTTCACTTCACATACAGCTTCTGGTGCACCTTCCCCTGTGCCCAGTCGTCGCTGTCTCCTGTTACACTCGTTGGTGGCTCTCTCACTCTTCCATCACCGCCATGTGCCTCCAACACAGGAGCTGTAATTCCCTCTCACGCCCTCCATAAGGCAGCGCTGCACCCTTAGAGTCCGACCAGACCCTTCCCATCACTCTGTCCTCTGCGTGTAAAGTCAGGGCCCCTCTATTACATTCTTGCTCTTTGGTCTTTACATGCTAACACATATTTAACTCGCGTTAAACTCATTCATTCAGCACTCTAGAACAGATTGCCTTTTTAAATAAAAAAATTCCTTCTAGGGACACTTGCTGTTACTCTCTCCCCTTATCAGTGAGATCTTCCACATTCTCGCAAACCAGTTCCCCTGTGGCCTTCTTGTTCTTGAACCATTTCCCTTTCAGGGGTTACAACACAAACATTACATTCGACTAGAAACTACCACAAACACTACAGAACAAATACCATATCCCGTCCAGGATGGTTGCAGTAAATCGACTCCCACTGCCGTGCAGCAGCACGATTCAGGCTAACACGAAGAATCACAGTCACGCGCACCAGCACTCTGTACTGCAGTGCATGTGATTCAGGAGACATGCGGCCTTCTGCCTTCTCAGCACTGTAGTTAGACCAGGACTGGTATAAGCCTGTCTTGTTCTGCTCTCAGGGGAGTACACAGTCCGTACTTGTAGGACCGCCCACTGCTGTGGCTCATTAGGTCGCATACTTCCTGTAGTTGTGGTCACTTGGCAACGTGCGGATTTTCAGGCATTTCCATGCCTCTCCTTGGCATTCCCACTCCTTATGGCACTACAATCCCTTCTCTTGGGAAGCAATGTAGTATAGACCAGTAATACCCCTTAGTAATGACGTCCACAGCTGTACCTCATTCAGACACTAATCCCTTCCAGCTGTATTCCTCAGCATTCCTGCCTTGACAGGCGTTACAGATGTGGATGTCATTACTCAGTGTCGTATCTGTCTATACTACACTGCTTCTGAGGGGAAGGGAATGTTGTGCCATGAGGAGTGGGAATGCTGAGGAGGGGAGCTTCTCTACGGACTACCTTGGGTGAGAGCCATTGTCTAGTGAGAAGATTACACCCGAGGTCTCACACAACACATGCACGTACACACAGTCTGCTACCTGTGATAGTTTGTGCTTCAGTATAATTCCACTCCGAGGTTACCCGCAGACACCAACAAACTACTGGGGGTTGTAACACTTTCATCTGCCCTGCATAGAGTGGTGTTACGTTCCTGCACACAATACACACAATACTTCTGGGAGAAGTAATTTTCTCTCATACCCTCCCTCTGGCCCTATTCTCTTTCGCCTAACACACTGACGGTGTTCTCCCACTGTCTTTCACGTCTCACAAATATTTAACACCAAACACAAATGACTGTCTTTCCTCAGCAACAGTTTTATATCGGTTCTTGCTCTACCCCAGTCGTACTCTTTCACTTAACTCACAGCTCTTGCCGAGTCTCCCTGGTGTCTTGAAATTCTCTGGCAAATCTCGCTCAAACAGGTCTCACCGTCCCACCAAGGTCTCTTTAAACTGTTACACCTAACAGCTCTCTCTGTTCTTATAATGTCTTCCGCAAATCGACAGTTCTCAAGGTCTCGCATAATCTAAATGACACCAGCAGCCATATCACCCTGCAACTCACAACAGGCAGCCCCACTGAAGCTCAGCAGGTGTGAGCCTGGTCAGTACCTGGATGGGAGACCTCCTGGGGAAAAACTAAGGTTGCTGCTGGAAGAGGTGTTAGTGGGGCCAGCGGGGGGCGCTCACCCTGCGGTCCATGTGGGTCCTAATGCCCCAGTATAGTGACGGGGACACTATACTGTAAACAGGCGCCGTCCTTCGGATGAGATGTAAAACCGAGGTCCTGACTCTGTGGTCATTAAAAATCCCAGGGCGTTTCTCGAAAAGAGTAGGGGTGTAACCCTGGTGTCCTGGCCCAATTTCCCATTGGCCCTTACCAATCATGGCCTCCTAATAACCCCAATCTATGAAATGGCTTCATTACCCTGCTCTCCTCCCCACTAATAGCTGATGTGTGGTGAGTGTTCTGGCGCACTATGGCTGCCGTCTCATCATCCAGGTGGGGCTGCACATGGGTGGTGGTGGAGGGGAGTCCCCATTACCTGTAAAGCGCTTTGAGTGGAGTGGAGTGCTTTGAGTGGAGTGTCCAGAAAAGCAATATATAAGTGTAAGCAGTTATTATTATTAATAATAATAATAATATTAAATGAGCGTCTCTTTATTCAAAACAATTTCTACCTGGCACTGCCCGTGACGTGTCCTCCATCATGCGGCTGTGGTCGCTTAGCAATGCACTCTTCTCCAGAGAGAAGACCCAGCCCTTGAGATTTCTGTGCCTCGTGCCAGTACAGTGTGGCATGGTGCAGAAAGAGGATGGTGTTTCATCACTCTTCATTTGAGCTCCAGCATCTGCCCCCCATGAGCTTCACAAACGGCTCTCTCTTTGGGTTGGATTGATACTTATTCTGTACCACTGAGGAACAAAACCTTTTAGGGGGGATTGTGACCTAGAGACATTCAGTCATAACGTCCCCTCAGAGAACAGCTTCTCTCCCTTAACTCCTCTTCCAAGCATAGACACCCAACATCTGAACCTCAGCCTCCCCCTGTACTGAGCAGAATAACTATTGCAACGCAGCATCAGCAGGATAAAACTAACCTGTCTCTCGCCGGTGTAAACCCCTATTACAAAGTTAATTGTCCACCACCTGGGGAATTCTTCTGGGAGAGCTAACATATCTCCTAGTCACTTGAAATGTGCAGCTTATTTGATCTCTGTGGAATTTGTTTTAAAAATAAAAGTGCTGTGTCACCTTTAAACATTGTGTTTCTCTGGCTCTCTGCCTGCTTAGTTTCTGAATTTAACCATTTTTTGTTCTACATGTCTTAGCAGGAATACTGTATTCATGGAATGCACTATGGCAGTGGTTCTCAAACTTTTTGGACCAAGTAATCCAACCAAAGCATCCAAGTACCACCTACAAGTCACCATTTCATAGGAACCCCAGAAATTATCAATGACCAACATGAGCGCGCGTGCACACACACTCACACATACATAATAAATATTATAATAATAAACTTTGTTTGATATATTAAAATGTGGCTTCTCAAAGTGTTTTACAGGAAAAAAAAACAACACATTAAAATAAAAAAGCACCATTTCAGTGAGAGGGGTGAGCCTGTTTAGTCGAGCAAAGCAGATGTGAATTAATTTTTCGAGCCTTGATACAATTCACAACAGTCTAACAGATTTTAAATCGTCAGGCATTTTCTTGACGGCAAAGGTCTCGCGGTGGATGTTGCAATGAAACCATTAATTTCTGGAGCAACCTCTCTAATTCGTGCAACTACACCCCTGTGTCGGCTTGTCATTGCTCTAGCACCGTCTGTACAAACTCCAACACATTTTATCCAGTCGTTCTCGCACTTCGTATCCAGTGCCATTCTCTGCGATAAATTCATTCAGAAGCTGAAATACGTGCTCTCCTGTAGTTCCTGTTGGTAGCGGCTTACAGAACAGAAGTCCTCACGGGACGTACTCTCAAACTCGTATCTAACGTAAACGAGCAAATTGGCCAAATCGACTACAGACTCATCTAATTGCAGTGAAAAACATCTGCTCATCTTAACGCGCGCTGTCAGCGTACTTTTGATATAATCCTTCATTTCAATAATTCTATGAATGACTGTGTCTTTCGGGGGGGGCAGCAGGTCGAGCTGTTCAGCAGCTTTTTCTCCACACATAATATTGTGGGGCTTACCTGCTTTAGCAATCCGCAATTATTTCAGTGTTTAAGTATTTATTTCATGCGCATGGGAGAGAAACACAGAGACGCTCGGTGTATTTTTCTCATATTAACTTAGAACAGTTCTTAAATATTTTTCTGTTATTTTTCACGCTTTCCTGTGCTCACAAGATTACCAGCGTTCGTAGCACGCATTTCTATGCATTCCTGTGTTTGCAACGTTGGCATTGTTCCAAAATCACGCACATTCTCCTTTCTCCCTATTTGCTGGAGATACAGTACTTTTTTTAAATACAATTGGTCACTTGCGTCCGTAGCACGCATTCCTATAGAGTGGTATAGAATTACAGAGTATCTCTTGTGTCCACTGAAGTATTAGCGCGCACTGTATCGTAGTACATAGGCTGCGTATTCGACACGTATAAAAATACAAAATATGAAAACCCGTCCCGATTTTTTCAGCGCACACAACACAGTTCCAGGGTCATTTGGCGTACCACCTGGCGGCACGCCACGTACCACAGTTTGAGAACCACTGCACTATGGGATCAGTTTTTCAATGCAGAAGTGTTTGTGAGATACAGCCTTCTTGCACTATTAGGAACTTTTTGAGAATAGATCAGTCTGGAGACATGAGCTATGAAAAGATTTCGCTCTAAGGTGAAAAAGGAGCTTGTTTTTTATGTTGTGTTTTTTTTTTCTTCCAATAACTGTAGAACTCATGACCTCAGTGCTGCTTTGGTGTTTCTCTCACAATCTGAGTGGAGGTGTGCTTTTATCTCCCAGAGAAGAAAGCAGAGTCTAGTCTTACAGCCACGTTCAAAGAAGAGTAAACAGAGCAGACAATGAAACCTCAGAGACATTCAGAAAGGGGACATTCACACCAGTCATGAAACTCTCTCTGGGTTTCCTCTTTGTGAGCTTTATTGTCTCACATTTAAAGAACTGAGCCTTGTATTTAAGGAAGCAGAATCTATCTAGGCCAAGGGTTTTTTTTTCTCATTTTTAACGAAGAGTAGTTTGTTTGTTTGCACTAATTTAACAGCTGTCAGTGGATATGTCTCTGGGCTCATAGCTGGAATGTTGCGGATTAGAATCCCATGTGGGGCCATGCTGTTGTTCCTGACCGCAATGTGCAGCACTCGGGCTGCTCTGTGTAAACGCAGTGTACAAGTGGGTACAAATGTGCTTTGCTTTGGGAAAAAAGCATCAACCAAATAAATCCCTGGCTGTTGCTTGTTCTATGTCCTGGTTGGTGCTGATGTTTTTTCTCTGCTTGTCGGACATCACGGTAATGATCTCTTGTGTGACCAAACTATCCAAAGCTGCCAGCTTGTCTGATTGTAACTCTTCTCCCTGTTCCTCCCGTGCCTCCCAGCAAGCATGTCCTCACTGAGGACGTGGTTTACCGCGAGGTGACGCAGGACGACAGGCTGCTGACCAGGCGGCTGCTGACGAAGACCAATCGCCTCCCGCGCTGGGCGGAGAGGGTCTTTCCCTCCAACCTTGGTCGCTCCGTCTACATCGTGGAGGACTCCATTGTGGACCCCAAGAACTGCACCCTGACCACCTTCACCTGGAACGTCAATCATGCCACACTGATGGTGAGCCCTGGCCGCATTCATGGACCTGCTGCCCTGAGTCCACACACAAGCCAGCACCTGCTGCCCTGGCATCACATCGATCCCTGGCAGTGATCACAGATCTGCTGCCCCAGGTCTACACAAAAGCCAGACTGCTACATCAGCATCACATCAATCCCTGTCAGTGATCACTGATCTGCTGCCCCAAGTCTACACACAAACTAGCACCTGCAGCTCCAGCATCACATCAATCCCTGGCAGTGATCACTGATCTGCTGCCCCAAGTCTACACAGAAACTAGCACCTGTAGCTCCAGCATCACATCAATCCCTGTCTGAATTCACAGATCTGCTGCCCCAGGTCTACACACAAGCCAGCTCCTGCTGCATTGGCATCACATCAATCCCTGTCTGAATCCATGGAACTGCTGCCTTGAGTCCATACAAGCCAGCTCCTGCTACACCAGCATCATATCAGTGCCTGTCCGCGATCACAGACCTGCTGCCCCAGGTCTACACACAAGCCAGCACCTGCTGCTCCACCATCACATCAATCCCTGTCTGAATTCACAGACCTGCTGCCTTGAGTCCATACAAGTCCATACAAGCCAGCTCCTGCTGCACCAGCATTACATCAGTCTGTTGGAACCCTGATTGAAGCAAGCTGGTATACAATTGAACTTTTTGGGGGTGGAGAGCTGGGGGAGGGTTTGTAGTTTTGTTTCCCTTTTCAAACACCAAACCAGGTTTAACATGCCATCAAATGCTTTACATGAATTACATGAATGTGTTTTGTGGCACACCCCTTATTTAGAAGTAATTCACAATGTTGTTTCTGTGTTGGCTGCTTTCTGTGTTAACTATTACAGCACAGGCTGTGGGTTGATGATCACTGGATGGTTTCTGGCAGCAGATCCACATGCTGCCTCCCACGCCAGTTTCCCATTGATCAAAGATTGAGGATCATTGCTTTCACCAGTGCCAGCTGCCCAGTCTCGCCTCTGCTCTGCAGCGGTCTTGAAAACTTAAAAATCTGAACCCCAACAGAGGGTCATGCACCCCAAAGGTGAACGATACAGACAGGCAAGAGATGTCTGTGTCATCCTTGATTATACTTTTTAATGATGGTGTTATGGACGGGCAGGTTTGTTGAGTGGTTATTAGAATGACAGGGTAGAAAGTGCTTTATAATTCAATTCAATTCGAGATTTATTTTCCCGTAGGGTGAAATCATTAGACAGCACACTCCCAGCATAAACAGCAACAATGACAGACAAAATTTTACCAACCAAGAAGTCAGTGCAACAGCGTTGCAGCAAGACAAAGGAGAAAAAAGTTACGATAGTTTGACAGAGATATTGCAGTGTGGATAAAAGATTTCCTGTGTCTATTAGTATCACACTTGGGGACACAAAGGCGTCTCCCGGACAGGAGATAAGGGAACGCACAGTGGAGGAGGTGAGAGACACAATCCATAAAACACTTTTCTTTCTTTGCTACCCTCTGTTTGTAGAGGATATTTAAGGCAATTTGATTTGCCCCAATTAATCTTTTATTATACTGATCAATGCTGCTGATGTTATTATGGGCTATTTGTCCAGTAACGACATGGAAAGACCACAGACATTGGGCAAAACACACTGACACAGCAGTAGCATTGCGCTCTTGGTCCCGAAGAAGGCTCCACAGCCGAAACATTGTGTTTTCTTTCTTCTCTTTTCAGCAGGGAATAAACCTTTACTTGTTCCTTTGCAGCCTACGCATGCTGACGCAGCTCCCCGCCTGAACTATTTCATGACTATTACAGATGCATCTGTGTGAGAGCGGAATGTGTCCGTGACACACGCACAAGCCAAGGGGGCGCCCAGAGCACCCTCGGCGCAGGCTGTAGTTGGGTGTCCTGCTACCGTTAAAGCTCAAGGCAAGAAGCAGAGAAGAACGCTGTGCAAGCTCTCAGCCAGTGGGAGTCTGGCGTGATGCACGCGTTCAGGGCCAGCGCCATGCGTAATCTCTCTCCGGCTCCCCTGTGTGTGCAGAGCTCCACCCGTTTCGCTTGTGAATGTTCCTGTGAGCCGCAGCCTGGCACTTACTGGCAGAGTCAGCTCCTCCCATCACTCTGCCGAGCTGAGCGAGTGAAGGCAGAGAGTGATTCATCTACGCTGTCTCCGACCGAGCTGCTGCAGGGACAGATATTGCTTCTGTGACCACCCAGTAATGCACTGTAAAAATAAAACTCTGTTCTGTATGAGGCAGACTTTTAAATTGGGTTCAGGTCAGTACCAGAACCTAAACAAAGCCCTCATACATCATTCATATTTAAGTTCAATCGTTCAATCATGGCCTCCTAATAATCCCCCTCTATGAATTGGCTCATTACTCTGCTCTCCTCCCCACTGAGAGCTGATGTGTGGAGAGCGTTCTGGCGCACTATGGCTGCCGTCGCATCATCCAGTAGGTGGTGGTGGAGGGCATCCCCATTACCTGTAAAGCGCTTTGAGTGGAGTGTCCAGAAAAGCACTATATAAGTGTAAGCAATTATTATTATTATTTTATTCTTCTTATTATTATTATTAAGAAATGGCGCATCTGGGGACTCATCCCCTGTGAATCCAGGCTATCAGAGCCTCAATTAGTGCTGATTCCGGCAGTACTGCTTTATCTGGTACCCAGCCCTGCCACTAATTGAGGTATTGCGGTAGACAGCAATGTGTCCTGGGATGTTAAGAGCTCAGAATGAGCTGCTGCAGGCTTAATAGAGAAACAGAAGACCATTGTATCTAAGCAAACAAAGTAGCTTGTTTTGCTAAACCCCCTCCCCTCCCCCAGAAAAGTGGGAAACGTCTTGGTTTATCGCAGTGTGGAGAATTGTGTTGCATGAGTGGGCATTCCCCTGTTGTGCTGCAATTAACAGTTTGTTGCGCAGTAATCGGATTTCAGAGAACCTGCCTCATGCGCTGGCTGTGAGCAGCAGAAGTAGCATTGTGTTCGAGCTGGCTGACATCACGGGGCTTTTGTTTTCATCATTGTCTGTTTGTTCCCAGAGATTCGGTTCCAGACCTCATTCCCTGTCTGGGTTCCTGGAAATCAAGCATATTTGCAGGGTTTTTTTAAAGTCTCCTCCCTCTGCAACTTGAAATCACGTGCATTGTCATTCCAACTACAAATCTGTTTCTCTTAGCCTGACTGTGAGAAGTCAAGCAACCACCCAGAGCTGTGACAGAGTGCCTTTTACATATTTATTTCCATGTTAATTTGCCTGATGGGTCTATAGAGAGAATTGCAAACTTAAGAAAATCGAAAACCCAAGACCACAAACACTACTAATTACTTTAGGTACATTAGTATTTAAAAGAGACATTGAGACTGGAATTATTATACCCTCCAAACAAGATTTAGCCATTGAAGTAAAGACTGCAGTTTTTCTCTTGACCTTTTCCTCCCCTCTGACTAGCTCTGTATGTTCCAATAGCGCAGGTTTTGAAATTAACCTCTTCCTGCACGACTTCTGTTTTTTGGCGTGTGAACAGGAAGCCTCCTGTCACCGAGTCAGAGCCGAGCTGCGCGCTTCATCGTCGAGCCCCTAGAGAGAGCTGCCGCTCTGCAGGGGAAACGCAGGTCTTCCTGTGCCACAGCCCAGCCACTGTGTCACCCCTGCTGCTGGTGTAGTTGACTGCTTCAGCCTCCTCTGTAGGAGTCAGAGAAGACTGAGCTAGTCTTTCATATATACATTATAGTTTATACTGTATATTATATGTGATATATTATATATTGAATAGTATTATATGTTTGTATTACATATTGCATTTCATATTATACAGTGTAAAATATATTATATATTGTGCATTTGCTTTCTGTAGGCTTCGCACAGCCAAATGTTCTTACAAAAGTCCTGGTGAATTCGTTGCTTGAGAATAGCTTCTTCAGTTCTGGCTTCATAAGCTGAAACTGGCTGACTTGGCTTTAAAGGGGAACTGCAACGCTATTTTTATATTTCTGGGTTAGAATGAATCAGCATGGATGAGGATTTCAAACGACAATAAAAGTAAAATGTACACAGGAACTTGTAAAACCTCCAATTTACATCACAAAATAGACACAATTTCCAGGTATGCCCAGCGCCATATTGTGTTATTCAGAAGGAGGCAACCAAACTTCCAGTGTGGTGAAGCAGCCCTGTTACATTGTAAACAAGCAGGCTTGTGAACACACCTCATTAAACCAGTAGCGGTATTGCTCCCGACTTTTTTGATGGTTTTGCAGACAAATACAACTTGCATTACCTCTGCATGCAGATTGTGTTGGAACATTTCTGCACTGAAATGTCTGCTGTACAACCTGCACTCAGTCGCTCGCACATCGCATGACATCAGTTGTTAAAGTTACTGGCGTTTCCTTGTGGTTTCTGTTGTTTCATTTAAACCAACAGAGATGGTCTCGTCACTTTGAAGCCCAGAACTACCTCACTTTGAACTCATCAGTCTGATGCACAGACGGCTCAGGGGTTCATCTTTTCCTTTTGTGGTCTGGTTACACCCATATACACAGCAGGGTATAAAGTAAAAGGACTGCTGCTCGATCACATGAAACCCACAATGTGCAAGACGTAGAACAGTTTGTGCTGGCATAGACGCATCATGCAGGAACAGAACACAGACCCCCTGTTGGATACATGGTGGAATATTTCACAAAAGACACTCAGTACGATACTTAAAAGGAGTAATAAAAACAAAATTGGAGGGAGAGCAACGATTCTCAGAGCTCTTAGAATTCTGCTTTTTACTTTGCGAGTTTTTTTTGCTGTTTTCAGCTGTGATTTGTGGGGTAGGGTGGGCTTCTGAAAGTAATAATAATAATAATAATAATAATAATAAACTTTATTGTGTATAGTGCCTTTAAAGGTGTCTTCTCAAAGAGCTTTACAGAACAAGTAAAGCAAGTAAAAGTAAACAAAAAATGCTCCACCAGTGCCCTCCTTCGCTTTGATAATTTAGGCCTCTTGGGAAGGAGACCTGCAGCTGAACTGCAGTCAGCCAGCAGCCATATCACCCTGCAACTCACAGCTGACAGCCCACTGAAGCTCAGCAGGTGTGAGCCTGATCACTACCTGGATGGGAGACCTCCTGGGAAAAACTAAGGCTGCTGCTGGAAGCGGTGTTAGTGAGGCCAGCAGGGGGCGCTCACCCTACTGTCTATGTGGGTCATAAATTCAAGTCAAGTTCAAGTTTACGTTTATTTGTCATTCCAGCCATATACAACCATACAGTGGAACAAAATATCATTCCTCCTGGTCCACAGTGCAAATACAGACAGGACACTGACACAGATATTGTAGACAGGGTGCAGATAGTGCAAATTACAAGGCAAATACATAATACAACATACACAACACACTGGGGGGATTTTAACCCTGTTTCTGGAATTGGGGTGGGTGCAAGTAGATTCCAGGGTGTTGCGGATGCCCCAGTATAGTGACAGGGACACTATACTGTAAAAAGGCGCCGTCCTTCAGATGAGACATAAAACTGAGGTCTTGACTCTCCATGCTCATTAAAAAATCCTAGGGGGGTATTTCTCGAAAAGAAATGGTTTAACCCCGGCGTCCTGGCCAAATTTCTAGCTGGCCTTTACTAATCATGACCTCCTAATAACTCCCATCTATGAACAGGCTTCATCACCCTGTTCTGCTCCCCACTGATAGCTGCTGTGTGGTGAGTGTACTATGAGCGCAGTATGGGCTGCTGTCACATCATCCAGGTGGGGCTGCACACTGGTGGTGGTGGAGGGGAGTCCCCATGACCCTTTAAAGCACTTTGAGTGGGGTGTCAAGACAAGCACTAATATAAGTGTAAGCAATTATTTTTATTATTATTATTATTATGAACTGTAGTGCCTGACAAGGATCTACAGTAAGCCTCGCTGTTTCTTTAGTTTCTGATGGTTCTGTTTCTTAACCACACAGAGCAGCCAGGATCACTATATGACACTCTGTAAGCGTGCCAAGGCGGTTTTGAAAGAAAAAAGACTAGCCAAGCCTTCTAGCCAGTTTATGGTTATTAATCTCCCAAAAAGGTCACGTGGTGAAATCCGAACGCAGGGCAGGGACTCGTGAGGTTTGACGTGCTCCTGCCATGCCAGTGCACTGCGCTTTCCGAGCTCTGTAGGCACAGAATGTTTGCGTGTTGGCGAGTGTTGACGGGCTCCTGTTTGTGTGCGCTGTGCAGGTGGTGGAGGAGCGCTGCGTGTACAGGATGAACTGCGAGAGGCCGGCCTGCACGCAGCTCAGACGCGAGGCCTGGATCAGCTCGGCGGTGTTTGGTTTCTCCAGGGCCATCCAGGTACCTTCCACCACCACCAGCACGCTGGCTTTCTGGCCACTGTTCAGGAGCTTCATTCTGAATGTTCAAAAGCATTACGTTCCCATTAATGCTGAATATATGTGGGAGTCTCTTTACACAAAGGGTGGTGGGGGTGTGGAACAAGCTACGCCGCCACGTTGTTGAAACTACTTTCAAGGAACAGCTGGATGAGATCCCTGGATCAGTTAACTACTAAATGGACTAGATGGGTCTCTTCTCATTTGTTACCATTTCCCACTTACTAAGTCATTTACACTATGCATTTTTCAGTTTTTGTGTTTATTGGCTTATTTCTTCCTGATTGGTTATCTTTCATTTATAGACATATTGCAGTGTTTTCTCCTCCGTGTCCTTAGGACTTAGAGGGGAGGGCTTGCAGTGCTATTCACAATGAAGATATATGTTCACTGCCTATTCTGATGATTTTCTTTATCCAGCCAAAGTGTAGATTCTTATGTGTGGTATTCATTACATTTGTGAATTCTGATTGAGCGAAATTTGCCAATAACAATAATTTGGGAGGGGAAGGCAGAGAAAAAAGGGGAACTTTAAAAGCTACTGAATTATATGCATTATATTAATATCTTAAAAAGGGAATTTGGGTGAAATGTTTATTCTTTTGCGTTGTGAAAAATTAGAACTCGTGTAGATTGCTTTACAACATAAACGTAGGGTTTTTATCCTTGGCTGAGTCTCCTGTGTGACTGTTGGTGTGCCCGGGAGAGTGATTGTGCAGATGTATTTGGTGAGCTTTTCACACGGCCCTTGATCACCCTTCCTGTCTGCATTCCCAGGAGTTCGGTCTGGCCAGATTCAAGAGCAACCAGGTGAAAACCATGAAGGGTCTGGAATACGCACTGTCCAACTTGCACGGTATGTACACTTGGCCACCCCTACAGAGACTGAAGAGAGGCCTGCTTGCGTCATATTTTCCATCTCGCTAATTGTCTCCGTTTCTCTGAGCACATGGTAGTGGTGTAGCAAAGTCAAATCTGATCTTTTTCCCTTCACAGTACATTTTGTACAGTATTTGCGATCATGAAATTTAAAACAAATGGTTAGCGCAGCATAGTATATTGCATCCATTTCATCATAACAGAACAAAAAATGGATTCAGCCTGGAGATTTCAACAGACCATAGGTATCGGGAACGTAAATTACAGAGCGTAAGTTTTTTGTGTTTTTATCTCTGTGAAAATAACTGCACTAAGTCTGTGCCTCATTAAGCTCACTAAGCTCCTTGTGTCATCATCTGAGATGCTTTGCCAAGTCACTGCCAAAGCCCCTTCGTGTTCTTGCCTGTTCCGGCTTTAATTTTTCCCAGCATGAGAAATCTGTCCTGTAAATTGACCCGGCCAGTCCAAAACGATTCACCTCTTCCTCCTGATGAGCCCCTCGGTGGCCTTGGCCTTGTGCTTTAGGGCCCTGTCTTGCTGCATGGTGAAGTGCAACACGATGAGTATGGAAGCAGTTCATTTTACACAAGCAGATGAAATGTTCCTGTAAACGTCAGAATTCATTCTGCTGCTGCCAGCGTTAGTCACTTCATCGCTACACACGAGTGAGGCAGTTCCACAGTTCCACAGTTCCAGTGACAGGCATGCATGCCCCGGCCATGACACCACCTCCACCAGGCTACAGAAGAACAAAGGTGGGCCAGATAACACCAAGGTTAACCCTTACGAAAGACGTGGAGAGGTGAAAGTGCTGAGAAAGAAGGGAGCTGTGCTAGCCCCAAAGAACAGCAGCTCATCTGTGAAGCTTGGCCTAGCCTGGTCATGACCACCTGTAGACCTGGCTCACTCGTCAGTCCTGACTTTCATACTCTGAAAGTTAATGCGTCCCGATGTAATTTGTAATGTGGTTGATGGTATGTTTGACATTACCCAAAAAGAAAATGTCCATCATGTTGCTTTTATCATTGCTGTTAATCTCACAATCACAAATGTCAATTGTGTTTGAATGTAAAGCAAAAGAACAGTTTTGACCGTGCTGTGCCAAAACTTTTGGATGGCTCTGCCTGTATTGCAGCTGTACACATACAGTACCAGTCAAAAGTTTGAGTGCACCTGCTTGAAACCACGTTTTTCGTGATTATCTCTGCTTTCAACTGTATAAACTTGTCTATAAACACTTAATATTTAATTACATGATATGTGTACTTATAATCTTAAGTGGACTGAATTGAAGCTGTTGATTTTTCATTTTCAATAAAATGAACATTTCAGTCTGAAGCCCAGGTTAGTTAAAAGTCAGAAATGTGTATAACATGCTGTTAGAACACTAAACAAAGTTTAAAATTGTCTTTGTTAGATATTCTCACAGTTAACTAGCATGTTACCCCATTTACCTTCTGTCACCAATTATTGGTAAACAGGTGAGGGTCTACTATTACTATAAACATAGGGGGCATGGGCAAAAGTCTGTAATTCCTCAATGAACATGGCAAAATTTGCTCAGCAAGCAAGAAAAAAAGACAGTCTATAATTACTTTAAGTACAAATTTGTACTAGAAGTACAGATGTTTCAACATCAACTGTTCAGAGGAGGTTGCGTGAAGCTGGCCTCAAAGGTCCTGTTTCTGTGTTTTTGGCCCAGGCAGGTCTCTTTCTCTTATTCTGCACTCCTAACAATGGGTTCTTTGCAGCAATTCTTCCTGGTAGGCCAGCTTCACGCTTCCTCCTCTGAACAGTTGATGTTGAAACATCTGTACTTCTAGTTGCACTGAGCTCAGCTTGTATTTCAGGTGCAGTTAGTCGCCGGTTTCTCAGACTTGTGACTCTAATGAACCTATTCTCACCTTTGGCCTGCCTGGCCTTTTTCGGTCCTCATGAGCGCCAGTTTCTTCGCATCGTTTGATAGTCTTGGCCACAACAAGGAAGAACCTGGTTTCACGCAGGTGCGCTCAAACCTTTAACTGGTACTGTACATGACCGACCAGAGCTGTTCCCAGTTTCAGGATTTTTAAAAAAGTGTAAGCCAGCACGCGTACACTTTGCTTCTTGAGTTTGTCACATGAATAAGGCAGACCCAGCGAAACGTACGTCACAAGTGCTTCTGCACTGTTTAAAATGAAAGCATGTTATGTTTGCATTTGCCTGCCATATATTTTTATGAAGATATATTGTCATGTCTCCGCCTCTCACATGCTGTTTTTGCTCAGCCATCTCTATGGTATTTGTACAGTAGGTGGGGGGAGGCTTCCCTTGTACATGTACAAACCCTGGCTCTGCTTCACAGCCTGTCAGGCACAGGGATGGGTAGAGTTGCTGCCAAGTGGGAAACTCATTAATTCCCCTTCCTTCCTGCTGAGTCTAGCAGTGCTTCTGATTTCAGGGGTCATGTGATTGCACTGTGAGTGTAGCACACTGCACATCTTGCTCTTTAATGCTTAATTAAGCTCTTGCATAACTAATTAGGCTAAGAGTGAAGCTTAGCAGATGACCTGTGTTATTCTCAGCGATTCCTTCCTCACAGCACATACTGTATGTTCCTGCCTCTCTCTGTGTGTTGAAAGCTGAGCTCTACAAACCAGGGACAGGGTGGATCGAACCAAGCTGTAGTAGGGCTGTTTTTCCTTCAACATGGTCATTCATTCACTTTTATAGAAAAGGTACAAAGTCTCTTGGCATTCCTGAGCTCTGTACATGTGGTTTTAACATTACCATCGTCATAAAGTGCTTTGAGAAGCCACTTTTGAAGGTGCTATATAAAATAAAGTTTATTATTATTAATAATATTAATTGCCGGCTCTCCTTATTTTGAACTTGAACTTGAACTTTATTGCCATATGTTACCGGTACTGGTACAATGGAATTCTTACTTACAGAAAGTCTCTCGATTGTAAAACAAGTGTAAAAAACAAAACAAAGTGCAAACAGTGCATCAAGACAATATACACACAAACAATAGACAATGTACAAGTAAACATGTAAACAGTTTGGATGTAAACAATACAGACGTGTAAACAATGACTGGAGATGTGCCATAAATCATAAGAAATCATAATGAGGTAGATGGTGATGGTGTAGGTGTGGTCCGAGGGGGATGGCTAAATG